AAAAAAAAAAAAAAAAAAAAGAGGATCATCGATAGAATGAGTGAACAGGCCATGAGTATCAGTGGGGGGAGAGGGACAGAAAGGCGTTGGAGAGGGGAGGTAGGGGAGAAGTGAACTGGTCGCCCTAGCACGGCCCTCAAGACCGCTAGATGCTGGCGGGCTGCGCCTAGGCTGGTCAGTGGCCCAGACGCTGAAATTCCTCTTCTTCTAAGAAGTTGGGTTCCCACTCCTCTTGAGAGGGTACAGGGGAGGAAAACAATAGGAATTTCTAAACAACAGTCATAAAATCCAAACTGACATGAGGGCATCTTAAGGAAGGGGTTGAGAGGTGAGACCGTTGTAACGCCTGGCATTATGTTGAAGAAAAATCACTCTTGTCCCAGAATATACACATGGTTTCACTGTGCCTTTCAAATAAGCCCCTTGTAGAGGGCATAATACGCTCATGACAAAAACTTCCAGCTTGTGCTATCTGTGGGAAAAATGCCTTCAGCAATTGCTGGACACGCATGCCTCCCATAGACTGTCACTGGGCAAGACCAAGTCACAACTTTTCATTCCAGTTGTAACCTCTGCCAGTGAGGTCTCAGATCGGCACACAGAAGCCTTCAAATCCTGGGCAAGGTGGCATTTATGTTTCCAAGTGGATTCTGACCTCTGGCTGGGGGCAGTGACAGTGTGACTCACAACCAAGAATGCTCTCATATATGACAATCAAGGGAAAACTATGCTGAATGGGATTAAAGACCCCTTTTCAATCACGAACTGGCCCTTCCAGGAACACACTCGCAAGCTAGGCATTACAAAGGAAACTGCACCCTGCTCAGCTGTGGACAGATTCAGCAGGTGGGAGGACGGGGACAAGAAGGCCTGGAACACCATATGGTTGCCCCCCACTTCTTGGTAGACATCTACCACCAACAGTGACTTCTCCAAGTACTCACAAGGACTTCTCAGAACTTCACCACTGTGGACATGCTCAGGAGCAAAAGCTACATTAGAGCCAAGTACAGTGGCTCACGCCTGTTGTCCTGGAACTCTGGGAGGCCGAGGTGGGAGGAATGCTTGACCCTAGGAGTTTGACACCAGCCTGGGCAACATCGAGAGACCTTGTCTCTCCAAGGAAAAAAAAAAGCTGGATGTGGTGATGCATGCCTATAATCCCAGCTACTCAGGAGGCTGAGGTAGAGGAATTGCCTGACCCCAGGAGGTCAAGACTGTGGTGAGCTGTGATCGTGCCACTGCAGCCTGGGTGACAGAATGAGACTCCAACACACACACACACACACACACAACATCATAATCACTATACATAGTCTATTGAGATGACAAAAATCCTCCAAAAAGCTCCCCTTCTCCAAAGAAAGACCAACACCAGGGCCCAGGTCACCCTGGCCGAGGCTCTGTAAACCTAAATCATTTCCCATCAACCATGTGCTCAAGGGTGGTCTCCACGGAGTTGCAATGGGCACCAGTTACCAGAGCCCCACAAAGCGGGCCTGTCCCCATGAGGACTGTGGAGATCTGTGCCCCTTGTGGTTCCCACCTTCTCAACTCTGGCAGAAAAGCCAAGGTGGGAAAAGGGGTCTTTAATCCTGCTCAGCATAGGCAAACATAGGACACAAAAATACATTCTCTGTTGGGAGCACAGGCTCGAGAAAAGCAAACTTGGGAGAGGACTTTTCCTCTGCAGTGCACACAAATAGATATTTTATAGCAGCACAAACGTGTCTTCCCAACTTCTGCAGAAAAAGAAATTTCATCCCCACCACTAATTCCTGAGTTAGAATTTTTCAAAAGCAATCTTTCACAGGAAAATGAAAAGCCCTAGTCTTAAGTAGTAATACACTGAAACATTTAAGGCTGAGGCAATATCTCTATGGATAGCCAAGAAATAAAATGAAAAACAGTCTCTCTGGACTTTGCAGTCAGCCTGGGTGGGGCACAGACATCTTGCTGGGAGAGCCTGGACTCACAGACAGCGAGGCCAGTGATGCCCGAGTCTGTCCTCAGGCCAGCATTCAGGGCAGCACTCCTGACATCGGTCGGTGATTAAGAGCCCCGCCCCACAGGAACCTTCTCCAGGACTTCCGGCCAGGGCCACAGAGTCAGGGCAGATGTGTGCCCACTGCACCCTGTATGGTCTGACTACAGGAATTAATGTTCTGTCCATTCCAGAGATACCAGTGAAATACGGACTTTTACTCACTCACTGCAGTAGTCCTCCTTATCCTCGGGATACGTTCCAAGACCCCCAGTGGATGACTGAAACTGTAGGGAGTGCGGGACTCTATGGATACTATGTTTCTTCCTGTACATACACACCTATGATAAAGTTGATGTTACAAATTAGGCAAAGAAAGAGATGATGGTTCATGACCCGTCTGGGCAACTTGGCGAGACCTCATCTCTACAATAAAATCAAAATGAGCCAGGCATGGTAGCGCGCGCCTGTAGTTCCAGCTACTTGGAAGGCTGAGGTGGAAGGATCGCCAGAGCCCAGCAGGTCGAGGCTGTGGTGGCCGGGAGCGGCCACTGCACTCCAGTCTGGGTGACAGAGTGAGACTCCAACTCAAAAAAAAAAAGAGATGAACGAACAATAAAACAAAAACTGTAACAATAGGCCAGCATCACTACTCCAGCACTTTGGGACCATGATTAAATAAAAGAGGGGTGATCTGAACTCAAGCACCCTGATAACGAGACAGTGGGAATCCAGTGATACTTCACATCCCAGGCCAGATGTGGCTCAGAACAGTGCACAGTTTAAAACTCAGGAATTGTTTCTTTCTGGAATTTTCTGTTGAATATTTTTAGACCACAACTTTCTGCAGGTAACTAAGACCACAAAAGCAAAATTCTGGATAAATGGGGCCTGTGTTGCTGATACACTTGGAGTAGGAGGCAGACAGATGGAGGCCAGAGGGAGAGGACGCAGAAGGCTTGGGGCGTTCCCTGGCCTACCCCTCAAGTCCTGAGAGAATGGCTTTTCTTCTGTTCTTAGGATCTGGGAACAAAACAGGAAGCCCCAAACTCTTAAGGCATGCCAGACAACTGCTAACTCCCATGGGCCGCCCCAGCCCGTTGAATCCAATTTGTCAGCTGGGACGTGGGTAGGTTTTGTGAAAGGACGGGACCCTCAAGCACCTGGAGCTCAGTCTCATCACGAAGCAGTGGCTCCATGGGAGACTCGGTGTGGATGCTCAGAAGTCACAGGGTCAGGCTGGTCAAAAAGAACAAATCTCCAGATTCACTGCCTGGAGCAAGGTGACTTGCTGGGAAGGCACAGAACCAAGACAGATGACAGGAAGACAGAGACCCCAACAGACAAGGCTGCCTCAGCATCAAAGCTCCTTATTCTTTAAAATATCATGAAATAATTCAAATGTATAAAAGAGTAAGAAGAAAAATATGAACATCCATTTACCTACCACCCAGGATTATCAATTCCTAATATTTTGCCATCAGATATTTTATATACATACGTGTATACATGTGTGTATGTATGTATTTTGTATCATCTCCTTTCCAGAGATGCATACAT